GGCATTCAAGGCCCCAGCTGCTCTAGCCGCTGCCTCCAGGCTCACTGCCCACCCCTTCCTCCCACCCTGCGGTCCTGCAGGTCCCTAAATATGCCAGGCTCCTCCAGCCTGCTTACTTTCCCTGTGTCTAGAGACTTCTACCATCTGCTCCCCTTGGCCCCTTGGTAAACCCCTGCTTCTTTCTCACCATTTGGTGAGAATGTCTCTTCCTCCAAGAAGACTTTTCTGATTTTACGCCAGCTCCTTCCCTCCTTGGTGCCCCCATCATGATATGACCCACCTCTGGTGACCCTAATTCTCACTGTGCTGGGCCTGGCTGCCCACCCCGCCGTAGCTGTTCCTTCATCGTCATCACCAACTGGGTCCGATTCAGCCATAAATCCCAGCCCCTGTCCACAGGCTGTGGAATACTTGGTGAGGAAGTGACTCAGTGAATAAATGGCCGAAAGAAGATATTTGCCCCATTGCCCATGGGAAATGGAAACTTCCAGACGAAGGGACCAGCCTAAGATGGCAATGCTGGGAAGTGAGGTATAGAAATTGCGAAGCGAGAGGGAGGTCTAGCCCCAGGGAAGTGTGTATCATATTGAAAATCATTGCAGATTATTAGGGTGCCTCCAACCCAAACCAGCTCCTTGGTTACATCTGATGTGTGTCATGGTGTGATTTATGGTGAGGGTAATCGTTATGAGAAGATATTTTATTTGATTCCTATTTACACAGCACTTCCCCAAACAGGATCTCCTTGATACTGGGAGGTAGCCAGGCAGGGATCAGTGATTTTGTCCCCAACCCCACAGAGGAGGCACATGCCTTGCCCAGGATCACACAGTTTATAGTTTCTAGAGCAAGTTGCTTGGAGCCCAGGTCCCCACAGGAATGGCCATTGCGAGGACAAACGCCCAACTCGGGGAGGAGTTTGGGGAGGGGGTTTCTGGTCAGAATCCCAGGTGAAAGAAAGTTTAAGAGGACTCTGGTTTGCAAGAGAAGCAAAGCCTCTCTGCAGATGTGTCCAGATGCTTTTTAGCAAGCGTGCACTGGGCATCCTGTATGTTCCAGGCACCGTGCCGACCACTGGGGCTGGGGAGGCGATCCTTCTCTTCAAAAGTTTATAGGGGAGATAGACACAGGGGCAGAAAGGGCAATTTGGGTGATGACCACTACAGCAGGGGACACCCTGGGGCAGTGGCCTGGCCTGGAGGGTAACAAGGAGACTCGTATAATACAAGAGATTAAAAGTCACTGTCTTATGATGTCAGTGTCAGGCTGTCATCCCAGAGCTGCAACCCCGCTCCTTGCGAGCCTCAGGAATGCGGGCTGCTCAGGCCAGCTTCTTGACCCCAGCGATATGAGTAGAGCGACCCCTTGTGGCGAGTATGAGAATCTCTTGATTGTTTCCTGAGTCCAGGCAGCCAGTTCCTGCTCAAAGCTTGCACCTGAGCAGAAGTGCCCCGTTACACATTTGTCACTCACTCCTGCAGCGAGCAAGGGCTTTAAAACAGTTTCGATAATGTCAAAAAACAAAACATAGGCAAAAGCCACGAACATACAAATAACGTAAAAAGGAAATACAGATGGCCCGTGGTCTTACAAAAAAGGTCCATTACTTAAAAAAAAAAAAAAAATACGGATGAGCAAAACCTCACGATTCCACTGTATTCTGAATATTTGCCATATATTAAAAGTACCTCAATACTGTTTATAGTTGGTAAAAATTGGAAACGACCTAAATGTCTGATCAGAGGGACCTGATTTGGTAAGTGAAGGCATTCCTTACGTCAGAGATTATTCGGCAGCCCTAAAACACCACATTGCAGAAGTTGTGGAGAAATGATCCTTCGATACCATCACATGAAAAATGCACAAAGCGAAAGTCAACATTTTGTAGAAACAGACTTTTGGAACAATTTAAATGTCTCTGCACAGAAAAAAAGCCCAGAGGGATATATTCTCACACATTTGTAATATTTGTGTTTGGATATCACTGTATTCCTCATTTTCTTCTTTCAAAATAATTACACATTAAAACTAAAGCCAAGTAAAGTTACAGGCAAATGCTCCTGTGAGTGTTGAAAAGCAGGGAGAGCTGGCAACACTGAGCAGAGGGCGGCAGGAAGGGGGAGAGAAGGCCCAGATCAAGTTCGGAGACCTGAGTTCAGGTCCTGTTCTCCCACTGCGTGTGCTGTGTGACCTTGGACAAGTCACTGTCCCTCTCTGAGTATTGATTTCATCACTTGTGACATGAAGCGGGTATAGCATCATCTCGGAAGTCCTCCCCTGGATGTTAGCTCCTCGAGGCAGGGGTATGTGTGTGTTACCCATGGCTGTGTCCTGGCCCCAGGACAAAGCCTGCCACATAGTAGGTGCTCAGAAAGTATCTGTTGAACTGAATGGAGGTCATCTTGGGTACTGGAGCAAAATCCAAATAGAAATGAACAGCAGAACGATGGTGGCCTTCGACACTGCCCTCCGCCTCCCCTTCATCTGTTCCCTCCTCCTTCCTTCTGCTTCTCTCTCTTGCTTGCTCTCATGTCTTTGAATTTCTGTCTCCCTTTTTGCATCCTATTTCCTCTCTTTTTTTTCTTTCTCATTTGCCTCCTCTCTCTTCCTTTCTCTTGTGCCTTCTCTCTCTCTCTCCATTTTCTCATCTCCACCTCCTTCCAATAAAAATGATAAAAGTGTTTAATTCTGATCAAGTGGGAAGCTAGTGGAGAAAACCATGAGGTACTCCAAGGTCTGTGGGCAGAAGGCACCTGTGGCCGGTTGGCCGGGCCCGTCTGGATGCAGAGCAGGGCTGTGCCCAGACCCCTCTGGTTTTCATTGGTCTTGGCTGGGGCCCTGTTCTGGTACTTGTTAAAAGCTTCTGGGTGATCCTAAGGTGTGGCCAGGGCCTGGTCTCCCCTGGTCTCTGAGGAGAACTGGACAAGACACAAACTGTCACACAGTAACTGGAAGGTCACAACCTCGGGGTATGAGGAGGAGATGCTGCAGTGAGGGAGGGGCTTCATTTGGGGGAGGCTCAGGGAAGCCTCATTAAGGATCTGGCCTTTAAGTTAAGCCCAGAAGGGAGCAGCTGGGCCAGGCAGAAGGGTGGGGAAGAGAGGTGTAGGCAGCAGGCACGAGGGGTGCGAGGCCCCAAGGCAGGAGGGAGAAGGGTCCATACAAAGAGCAGAGATGGGTATGGTAAGGCTGGGCAGGCAGGGGTTTTATCTTTCAGGGCAGTGGGAAGCATGGAAGGGTTGGAAACAGGAGGGCAACCTGAGCCGGTTTCCATTTCAGTGCAATTGCTCGGCTGCCAAAGGGTGTGGAAAGGAGGGGCAGAGAGCCAGGGGCAGGGAGGGCTTTGCAAGGAGGCAGCCTGCGACCAGTACCCTCCCCAGGAGGATGCGCCAGGCAGGCAGGAAGAACCGCACATGCTGAGGCCAGCAGGAACCAGCGTGGGGGAACAAGGAGGCACTGTGAGAGGAAGCCAGGACCAGGAGTGTCAGGGGCTGCGGTAACGGCCCTGGACAGCCTCCGTGCCCTGACCGCAGCACAGGAGCTGATCCCGTGGACTGAGTGGGGGAGGTGAGGGGGGGACTTGCAGGTCAGAGGGTCCCTGGCAGCTGCGGGCAGGACGGGAGGGGAAGCAGGAGGCCCAGTTAGTGGCCAACGCAGGGGTCTGCTGAGAGCAGGTGAGGACCTGGGGACAGGCACGGGGCATGACCTGTCCATTTCCGTTTCTCCCTCCCCTAGAAGAGCACCTGATCCACAGTAGGAGCTTAATAAATGTTTGCTGAATAAATGCACAGCGAGTCCGAAATGTCTGCCTTTCTGCAGGTTCTGTCTATCCATCCGTCAAACCTTTATTAAGCACCTAATAAAGGTGTGTGTGCCAGACTGGAGTGTCAGTGCGGACCCAATGAAGGCCAGTTTCCTTCCTGAACGACCTCAGGTCTAGTGTGGGAGCAGGTGGGAAGCAAACAGCGCCCCTTAGAACCAGGCTAGGCGTACCCCGGGGCAGTGGGAACCTGCAGGACACTTGTGCCCTGGCCCCTCGCGGGTGGTGTCTGGAGCTGCAGTCAAGGTGCTGCCTCTAACGTGCTCTGCAGGGCGGGGGGTGGGCATTGGGTTAGGGAAGCTCCTTGCTGCAGCCCAGCTTGCCTTTTGGGGTGAGATCCAGAGGAGGGGGTTGCCGCCCGGAGATGCCTGGCTGCGGCGTTTGGGGCCTGTGGACAGTTGAGGGACAGGACTGCCCGGAGGCCGGGGCAGGCTCCCACCTCGGGTGGATACAAAGGGAACTTCCACACCGGAAGGAGAGGGGACTGGAGCCTTTGGTGCCACCTTGGGGGGCCCAGAAAAATCTTGGCTGAATGGACAAGCTCCCCATTGTCTGCTAAATGGATGCTGGGTGCTCACAGGAGGCAGTTTGGTTGGCAGGACCGAGAACGCAGGACCAGGGCCCTATGGCCAGGCCACTGCCCTCTGCTGTCCTCACCTGGGGAGGGGATGCGACTCCCTCCAGGGGTCCTTGGGAGGGACTTGGCTGGGACAGGCTTGGAGGGTCCCTTGCAACCAGGGACACTCACAGCTGTCTTGTCTTCTTGTGTTTTTTTCCTCAAGGACGCCCTGGGCTGTGTTCAGGATGAATCGCCGCCCCTGCCCTGGGAGGAGGCTCCGGATGCCTGCGGAAACCGAGGCTCTGACGGGGCCCCTGGACCAAGGGGCTCGGCAGGTGCGTGGGGGGCCCCGCGTGGATATCCACTGATGGGCCAGCTCTCTTACGACATCCTGATGACACAGCAGGGTGGCGGCCCCTGCTCTACAGTCAGGAAGCTGAGGCTCAGAGAGGTAGTGTTGTTTGCTTGCTTGATGCCACACAGCTGGGAAAGGTAGGATCAGAGTCCACAATGCCCACGGCAAGGTCTGTGACTTAGGCTCAACCTGACATTTAGGCTCACTCCCTCAGCCCTCAGAAGGGTGCCAACCGGGCGATGCACATGCCAGCCTCAGGCAGCAGGGGTCCCTTCAGGGGGATTTGTCTTCGCAGAAGACCGTGTCATGACCAGGAGCTGTTCTATTCCCCTCCCCCGCCCCAGTCACAGCTCAGGTGTGAGACAAGTGTGAAGTCTGGGAGTTGCTGGGACCCCCTTATCCCTAAGTTGTCCCTAACGGGAACCAATATCTCTGCTAATAGTCTCGAGTGCAGCTTCCAGGGTCCCTGCTGCAAAAGGCACTGCATGCAGGGAGCCCCAAAGCCACGGTGTCCAACTGGCCGCCTGTGGTTTATGTACAGTTTTCCAAGGTGAAATTCAACTTAAGGATGAGGGGGTCAGTTATACCCAGCGGGACTGTTGACCAGCAAAGCTGACCTTTCCCCTCCATCCCATTTCTAGGGAACAGAGCTGACAAGTCAAACGAGGTCAGGTTTGTCCTTGGGGAAGGGGGCAGGGCGTGTCTGGCAAAGCCTGGGCATCATCTCCTCTGTCTACGCGCTGACCGTGAGGGGCTGGGGGCCAGGGATTATGACCCTGTGTGACCATGAGGGTGCGGGGCCGGGGAGATGTCATGGGCTTTGTGGTCAGAAGAGGTGGCTTCCAGACCCGACTCTGCTGCTCACCAGTGGATGTCATTCCCCATCCCCGAGCCTGGGTTTCTCACCTGACAGGCAGTGGTGGCCAGCAGGCCACTTTTGGAGGCTCAAAGGCCCTGAGTCATGAGAAGTGCTGTCTCATCCTAACAGCAGATGGCACTGCTGGCGGCTCCTAGGAGGGTCTTCTTAACTCTCGGGTCCTGTCATTTCCCAGGCCAGCTCTCCGAGGGGCCCCGCGCCTGGGACTGCATCGGGGCTGGACAAGGCACTGCTGTCTTGATCCCAGGCCCGGAGACCATGGACAAGCTCCCAGGAGACCTCGCAGGATCTGACCGTGGACAGGTGAGACCAGAGGCTTTCTGCGCGCCTGGGGTGCCAGCTGGGTCTGATCAGCCCTACTGTGTGTGCGGCACAGTGTGGCCACCACGCAGAAGATGGGAGAAGGAGGTAAAGAAGCTTGGGGTTTGGAAGAACATTCTGGAAATAGTTGAGAGGGAGATTTGAGCCCTGGGTGGGGAGTGGGCAGGAAGGCTGTGTGCCCCAGCTGTGTGCCCAGACCCAGCTGCCACATAGCAAACGTCATCTCATTGAAACCTCCCCACCAGCAATGAGGCAGGAGCCATGAGCCCCCGTTTTGCAGAGGAGGAAGTCGTGATTTCCCAAGGCCTCACAGCCCTCTAGGGCACTGGGGTCCTCACGTCTCCATAGCCCACACTGTGCACCACACTCTGCCCTACGGGTCAGGAGCCTGGTTCCAGCCAGCCCTGATGCGGTTCTGTGGTTCTAAAGAGCGGGGGCTTCCTTGCTCACCTACTTTCATTCATTCACCTCCTGCTCCGAGCCACTGCGTGGTGTGCTGTGTCACACCCAAAGTGGGGAAGGAGCAGAGCAGTCCCTGGCGTGGGGAGAGCTTCACAGAGAAGCTGGGAAAGTAGGTAGACAGACAGGAAGCCAGGGATGGACAGCGAAAGGGCAGGCCAGGTGGGAAGACCTGCCAGGTAAAGGTGGTGAGACTGGGAGCGCTGTGAGGTGCAAGTGGGGTCGTGGTCGCATGTGAGCCGAGGGCTCCTACTGAGCCTGGATGAAGCCAAGTTTCCCCTCCCGGGCCTCAGCCCAGCCTGGGTTTGTTCTCTGGGTCAGGCCAGTCCTCCTCTCTGGTTAAGCTCATTGAATAAGTAAATATAAAAAGATATTCAGGGGCTTCCCTGGTGGCGCAGTGGTTGAGAGTCCGCCTGCCGATGCAGGGGACGCGGGTTCG